GTTCAATGCAACATGGCACATGCAATAAAACAAGTAGATCTGGAGAGGGAACAAATTTGGATAACTTAAATTCTTCGAATGATTGCTCATATCAATTCCAAGTAGGTGTGTGCGCGCCACGTGCACAATCATTGGAAGGTTTTTCCCTAGTGGTACCCGTTATGTCGGCTGTGGAGCCCCCCGGAGTGGTGCGTTCATGGCGGTCCCTGCCGACCCGCCACCTCTTCAGTTCCTTTTTACCACCAGTGATGGTCATTGGAGCAGCTTTTCTCGTGCGTTCACAAGTGATTCTCTAGAGTGGATTCTCTTCTCATCGCTATCTGTAAATAGTATGTAAAGTTGTAGTTAGTTAAGTTTATGTTGGGGGTTACCCCTCCCTCGCAGTCCCATCTCTGGGAAGGTCTCAGGGCTTCAAGCAGTGCGGGTCTTGCCTCAGGCTCCTGCCCAAGGGACACCCACATGACTCCTGTCTCAAGTGCCTGGGAGAAGGACACAGTCCAACAGTAAAATTTGCAGGGGCTTTAAGGCCAGGACCAAAAAGGAGCGGGACTTTCAGCTGAAACTCCTTTTGATGAAGTCAGCCCTTTGCCCTCAGCTAGCCCAGACAGTGTCGGACTCAGGGTTGGGCACTTTGGTGTGTAGTGCGCCAGCCTCGGTGCGGGAGGCCATGGCACCGAGAAAGGACTCATTTAAGGAGCCTCTGCACCGCCATTCCCGGCACCGAGAACCAGCTCCAGTATGAGACACCACTCGTAGTCTTCAGTACTGCACAAAAAGAAGAGAGAGTGGACAGGGGGCACACCCCTACTAAGACAGCGGACCAACCTTGGGTCTGTCTATGCTGGCACTATTGACTCTGGCCTCTTGGGGAGATCCATCGAGTCTGGTCCTGGTGGGACTCCCCAGTGCAGGAGGAGCTGGATCTTCTCTTCAGGCCAGACACCTTTGAGGCACCAAGGGACCTGATCACCATGACGGCACAGTCTCCTGCCCTGCCAGCTCGTGCTCCGGCACAGACAGTAGTTCCGGCGCTCGTCTGTCATGGGGCAAGCCTATGATGCAGCAGCATTCCCCGGCACTGTCTAGGTCCACACCATCCTGGTCAGGCTCGGACTTCTCCTCAGAGGTGGACTCCTACACAGCCAGGCCTGCTCCCAGCACCGCCGGAGTCAGGACAAGGGGCAGCTGGTGCGTATATTGTCCTGGCTGCTGCAGTGGCAGGGGCTGACTCGGTGGCCCTTTTGGACTCCATGGGCCTACCACCAAGCCCAAGGGCCCAGTTCTAGGTCCCTGTCGATGGTATCAGAGGCTTGGATGCCTCCATCGACCTCCTCTGTCACCAAGGAGCCTCCCCGTGATCAGGATGCGGAAGCCCAAACGGAACAAACAGTCAAGACTGGCTACCATACGGGCGCTGGCACCACAGCGGCTGTGGCACTCAGTACTGCAGCTGCCACCTGCTCCGCTCAATGGGCCTTCATGCAGGTGGATCCCTGTGAGCTGGGGGGTCAGGAAGACCCAATGCCACCAAGGGCATCGTCCTCGTCCTCCCCAGATGATGTGGTGGCAGAGACCTCCACCACATTGCCTGGTATGGACACCAGGGCCCATCAGGACCTACTCAGGAGGATGGCCCAGAACCTGAACTTGCAGGCAGAGAAGGCCTCTGAGGACACGGACCCAATGATGGACATTCTGGCTTTTGAAGGGTCCTTGAGGGTGGCTTTGCCCCTCATTAAAACTATACAAAATACCACCAAGATGCTGTGGCACACACCCACCGCCATCCTGCCGAGGGGGAGGAGTGTAAATACTTTGTGCCATTTAAGGGGTACGAACACCTCTTTGCCCACTCCCAGCCTAGGACCTTGGTGGTAGAGGCGGCTAACCACAAGGAGCAGCAGGAGCAACCGGAGCCTATGTCCAAGTCCAAGGATGTGAAGAAGCTGGACCTCTGTGGTCGGAAAGTCTACTCCACCGGGGGGCTCCAGCTTCACATTGTGAACCAGCAAGTGGTCCTGAGCTGCTATGCTTATAACTCCTGGAGTTCTCTGGCCAAATTCCAGGAATTGCTCCCAGCTGACTTCTGCTGCAAGTTTGGGGGGGTCCTGGAGGAGGGCAAGGTGGTTGCCAGGACCTCTCTTCAGGTTGCCCTGGACTCAGCAGACTCTGCCACCCACAATATGGCCATTGCCATAGCCATGAGGCGCAGCTCTTGGCTCCTCAGGGCTCCTGCATGAGGTCCACAATACAATCTAGGACCTGCCCTTTGACTGCTCTGGCCTCTTTGCAGAACAGACAGACTCAAGGCTTCATACCCTTAAGGAGTCGTGGGTGACCCTCAAGTTTATGGGGCTGCACACACCATTGCCTCATGCTTCTACTCTGCCCCTCCTAGCCAGAACTATAGCAGGAAGTGGGGCAAAAGTAACAGGAGATGCCCATCTCAGTCCTCCTCTGGCCAGGGCCAGGCTAAGCAGCCTTTGAGCTCAAAGCCGAACTTTTGAAGGTGTGCCCGAGGACAGAGCACCAGTTCAATACCTGGATCCTTCCTCTCCTTTTGTGAGCCAGCTATCCCCTTTCTACAGCGTCTGGGCTCAAATAACCTCAGACCACTGGATCCTGAGCACTGTAGAATTGGGATATTCTCTCCAATTCTGTTCCCTCCCACCGACCTTCCCCGTCCCTCTTCAAGGATCCTTCTCACGAGCAACTTCTAGTACAGGAGGTACAAACGCTCCTACAACTCGGGGCGGTAGAGGAGGTTCTTTTGGAGTTCAGATTACTTCTTAATGCCCAACGCCAAGGGTGGTCTTAGGTCCATTTTAGACCTGCGAAACCTCAACAGATTCATAAAGAAATTGAAGTTCCGGATGGTCTCCCTGGCTTCCATCATTCCCTCTCTGGATCTGGGGGATTGGTACGCCACCCTTGATTTGAAGGACGCGTACTTCCACATCTCCATAATTCTGTTCCACAGAAGGTTTCTGCAATTTGTGGTCAGCAACACGCACTACCAGTTCACGGTCCTCCCCTTCGACCTATCAGCGGCCCCCTAGGTGTTGAAGTGCATGGCAGTCGTGGCAGCTTTTCTTCAAAAGCATCAGATACAAGTCTTCCTGTACTTAGACGACTGGCTCACCTCAAGCCCAGGTGGAGGAACACGTGAACTTGGTGCGTGTGATGTTCCTCAGGCTCGGTCTCATTCTCAACATGGCGAAGTTGACCTTAATTCCCACTCAGAGAATAGAATTCATCGGGGCCCTCTTGGACTCCACTCAGGCCAGGGCGTTCCTGCCCAAGTCTTGTTTTCTGGCCACAAGCACCATCATAGAAGGTCTCCACTGGTTCCCCACCACGATGGCCTAAAATTGCTCGGACATATGGCAGCTTGCCCTTATGTGGTGCAGCATGTAAGGTTGCAGCTCCGTCCCCTTCACGTGTGGCAGGCTCAAAGGAACAGGCTGAACCGGGACCATCTAGACAGACTGGTCACGCTCTCTCCTCGGGTTCTCGAATCCCTCCACTAGTGGCTCGATCCACAAGTAGTTTGAGTACCCTTCTCCAAACCTCAGCCATCGCTCTTACTAGTCTCAGATGCATTGGCGCTGGGGTGGGGCGTGTACATGGGCGACCTCAGGACTCAAGGTCTATGGTCCCAAGCGGAACTATCGCTGCACATTGTCAGGGAGCTGCGTGCAGCGTGTCTAGCTTGCCACACATTTCAGGCCCATCTCCAAGGCAAATGTGTATCGGTGTTGACAGACAATAGGGGACTGGACTTGATGACCTCTCGAGGTCCCTTCCAGTCCTAGAATCTATGAACACCACAGTGATGTTGTATATAAACAAACACGGTGGTGCTCGTTCCTCTCCCCTGTGCCAGGACGCCCTCAGGTTTTGGATCTTTTGCATCGCCCACTCAATACAGTTGGAGGCATGACAGCTGTCGGGCTCACAAAATGAACTGGCCGATCGCCTCAGCAGATCCTTTCATGGCCACGAATGGTCTCTCTGCCTGGATGTCGTCAGCAATATCTTCTAGAGGTGGGGGGGGGGTCGTCCCCAGTTAGACCGGTTTGCAACACAGAACAACAGGAAGTGCCAGCAGTTCTGCTCCTTTCTGAACCACAGCCCCAGCTTGATCACAGACGCCTTTCTCTTCTCATGGACGGGGTGCCTTGCGGTATGTGTTCCCGCCTTTCCCTCTCGTCCACAAGGTCCTCCTCAAATCCAGCAGGACAAGGCATTGTTGATTCTCAGAGCCAGCATGACCCCAACACTGGTTCTCCACTCTGTTACACCTTTTGGTGGACATGCCCATGGCCTTGCCCATGATTCCAGACCTCATCACGCAGGACCATGGCCACCTCCAGCACCCCAACCTCCACCTCACAGCGTGGGAATTTCATGGCTAAACTCGTTAGAGCTTCAATGCTCCAATTCACTTAGGGAGATTCTCCTTGGCAATAGAAAGGCCTCCACTCATGCCACTTATCTGGACAAGCAGAAAAGGTTCTCTATTTGGTCCTCGCAGAAGGGCACCCCTCTGCCGCAGTCTTCAGTCCCCTTTATACTGGGCTAGGTACTCTACTTAAAGCAGCAGGGGCTGGCAGTCTCATCGATCAAGGTGCATCTGGCTCTTACTTCCTCTTTCCACCCAGGTGCAGCGGGGCGGTCAGTATTTGCTAACCCCATGGTTAGATGCTTTCTCAAGGGACTAGAGAGGCAATCGTGCACGCAGCGCGCACACACCTACTTGGAATGGACATGAGCAACACATCTCTAAGAACATCAGTTATGAAAGGTAGGTAATGTTTTTTTTTATAGGCAAGTCATTCGTTGTAATTAATTTGGTACTTAAAAAAAAAAAAACCTCACTGAGAAATACTCATTTTAACCCAAACGTTGTAACAGTTAATCAAACCGCAAAAAGGTATTCGCTGCTTTACATATAGTGTGGAAATAAATGTTTACAGTGCTTTTCTTCTTTCAACTAGGAGCTGGAAAGCCAGAAGAAATTGTGATAGTTTCAGAGCCTACTCATGAGAGTTTTGTGGTATCCAAAGCCCAAAATGTGAAACTAATGCACCTCACTTTAGTACAACAGGGGACTGTTGATGGTATTGTGGTGGTTGAATCTGGTCATATGACTTTTGTAAACTGTATATTGAAATGTGAAGGAACTGGAGTCTGTGTGCTTACTGGAGCTTCTCTGACTATTACAAACAGTGAGATTACTGGAGCTCAGGTGAGTCTGCATGAATATCAAAAAATAAATTTAATATACAAGCAAGTATAAAATGTTAACATGCATACAGAAGCTTTTTTTAAAAAAAAAACAGGACAAATACTGTTGTTGAATTGCAAGTGGAAATACTTCAAGTTCAAATTCTGTTTTGAAAACTTACATGTAATTTTCAGTTAACTTCCAATTTTCTGTAGCTAATTTGTTTAAACTCTTCAGGGAAGCAGCCTTGTTTTTATTTGTGGTGTTACTAGGGTAGAGTGCTATCCTCACCTATGGAATTAAGTGTTAGCTGGGAGTTGCTTTCCTACTTATTAAAAACCAAACTGAGAATTATTAAGCAATATTTTCATGCTTGATACTTTTTACATGTAAAACACTGATGTAGTGACTAAAATATATCCCTGAAGATGTAATTTTAAAGTAATAAATGCTAAGCAATGAATAGTGATTCCACTCCACCCTTCATTCCAGTGTGAGCAGGAGTTGCAAGGTCCCATAATTGCATAGTTTTATGGGTTTCCATTCCTCACTATAATAAATTGCAGTGGACCAATTTTGACATCTTATATTCATACAAAATTGCAGAACCACTTTTTACATACATGACTGTACGCTGAATGCTTTTCCTGTGGCAATCTTTACTTTCAGGATTTAATTTTTTGTTTTAATGTACAGGGTGCTGGTGTTGAGCTTCACCCAGGAAGCACAGCCATTTTGGAGGGTAATAAAATTCACCACTGCAATAACTTCAAAACCAGTGAGAGTTCACAGGGTGCCCTAGGTGGAATTAACATTAAGGTAACTGTGCTGTGTTCTCCTAGCAATTGTAACTGACACTTCTATAAAGTAATAGCTGTACTGTTGCAAATGCAGAAGTTAGTGGAAGCTAAAGAAATGAGGAACATCATGTTTATTGTAAAAATTGCATTTCTTTAGTTAAAATTTCTAATTCAAGAATCCAGTGGCTAAGTCCTTGGCTACCAACCATTAGTGTGGAATTTCGTGAATCCTATCAGGTAACCTCTAGTGTCCCAGCACACTTCTCAACTTTTTAGACACCAAATGTACAGCAGTTACTGAAGTGCTACGCATCAGGGCGCTGAGAGCTAACTCTGAGTAAGAGCATTTGGTACCTAGGAAAGTGAGAGGCTGGTATGCTGGGCGGCGGTGGTGGTGGTGGTTGGAAGGGCTGTCTTGGAAGGGGTCCCTGTGCCCAGGCTTCTTGTGGGGGATTGGTGGAGTGTCCCTGCTGCATGGGCTTCTTTTGAGGCAGCACGGAAGGGGTGTTTTTTAAGGGGAAAGAGAGGCAGTCCCAAGATCCACTATAGTTTTTAAACTCAATCTGCTATCTCATATGTAAGGCTAAGATTTAGTCATGAATATTTTTAGTAAAAGTCACAGACAGGTCACAGGCAATAAAGAAAAATTCACGGAAACCCTAAAAATATCCACGACAAAATTGGAAGTCGCTGGGCAGTTGTGGGGACTGTTCAGAGCTCCAGGGTCCCTCTGCCGCCCATGAGGGTACCCTGCAGCTCCCAGACGCTGCAGCCTGAAGTCACAGAGGTCTTGGGAAGTCATGGAATCCGTGACTTCCGCGACCTCCATGACTAAATCGTAGCCTTACTCATGTGAAAACTACACACTGCAGAATTAATTTGAGTTATCTACACTCAAGTTACTTCTTGAGTTAGCCTAGCTTGAGTGAGTGGCCATATTGCAAAACACTCGAGCTGCTGTGTTCACACTAGCACGGCACTCACTCGTGTGGCACTTAAGATTTCTGAGGTCATATTCTGTGGGTCTTTGTGCTGCAGTAATATGAGCTGCTCCATGACTTTCCCAGTGAATTGTGGGAGAACATGTATTTCCTTTCTGGGTACACAAAGGAATTGTGGGAAATCAGTAGAGGTTGCCATTTGAGTGGAGTTTGCATTCATTCACTCTCCAGAAAGGTAGTGAGAGCAGCTAATGAGTTGAGCTCAATTGAGCTTATACCTCTTAATGGTCCAGACAACTCAACTTAAGCACCATCACACTCAAGTTCACTGCAGTGCAGACAAGCTTTGCTTTAGAATTGTACCTCAGGTTAGCTAACTTGAATTAGCAATATACCTTTTTTTCCACTGAAGCGAAGGCCTTGGTGTGAAGAAGTTTCTCTTTATTACTGCTTCGACTGGTTGTTGCACATGATCTCACTTGCTCTACTCAACAGTTAAGAATTTACCCTGAGTTCATGATTTTTTTTTGTAGGTCCTCTTAGTCAACTTCTGTCACATTTTAGTTCCCATCTGTAAGACTTAACTATGTGCTAACAGGCTAATCTGACAAAAAAAAACAACAAAACTATAGATCTGCACAAGAAGGCAGTGCTCATCAATTGTACATGTAATAGCATTTTGCCCATGAGCCAATACAGCTTGTTTTCATAGTTTGACTTAGAAACTAATGGTCCCATCTACTCTGACTACTTGTAGATCACAGGCTGTTGAGTTTCACCAAGTTACTCTTGTGTGAAACCCTACAAATTTTTTGACTGAACTAAAGCATATCTTCCATAAACGCCTCCAATCTTGATTTGAAGCCATCAAGAGATGGAAAAATCACCACTTCACATTGTAGTTTGTTCCAATGGTTAATCACTCACTTCAGGTACCAGGCTGAGCTTGTAGGAACTGGCATTTAAAAAAAATTGAGCAAGACTGATCTGGTAATCATTGAGACAATTACAATATGGGTTTTGGTGTAGGAGGAAAAATACATATATAAGGAATAAATGCATACATACATAAGAAATAAATCAATTTCCTGACATTTAAATTCTCAGCAAAACAGTTTTTCACAATGTTCTCTTGTCAGTATCTGTACTAAATAGTGAGTTGGACATGGAATAGGTCCTGTGTCTTGTGTAGCTGTGCTATCAAACTGCTGAGCAGTACATGTCTGTCGCATCTTACGTGCATTTAACATGCGCGATTTCAGCTTTACGCGGTCAGGGGGAGGGGAGGGGGGAGTGCGGGCAATTCCACCAGCATGAGACATGACTCTGCTGTTCCCACTAAAATATTTTTTGCTTTGGGACTTGACAGCAACAGCATGTCTTTAGGCCTGTGATAAGGTTCTCCCCTATAATAACCCTGGAGGGTTGGCCAAAAAAAAAAAAAGTTTAAATAGTGCGTATGCCCCCGAGTGAGTGTGAGATGGGAGAAGCAAATCTGCTGTTCCCACTGCAGTACTCAGTCTCCCTGTGCCTCTCATACTGGGGGCATCTCGCCGCGCTGAGTGAGATTCTACTGTACCTGTTCTGTTTAAAGATAGGGTACGTATTTTTCGTATAACATTGCCCCTAAACGCAAGCCACCTACTTCATCTGGTGCTCAACCGAAGAAACAGCGATCTGTTCCAACGCTGAAGGAAAAACTGGCTGTGTTGGACTTGGACGGTATGTCCATCGCCAACGTGGCGCATAAATACGGCCGCAACGAATCTAGCATCTGTGCCATCAAGATTCGAGAGAGAGAAATTCGTCAAGCTGTGGCATCAAGTGCTCCAGTAACTGCTAAGGTGACGAGCCAAGTGCGTGATAAGACTTTAGAGAAGACTGAAAAGGCATTAAACTTATGGCTGGAAGACATGAACCGTAAACGTGTGCCTATCAATGGCAACATGTTGCGAGAAAAGGCTCTTAGCATCTATGCGCTGTTCAAACCTCCCACCGAAAAGGGACAGCCTTCTGATAAGAAGGAATTCAAAGCCAGCCAAGGTTGGCTTAACGGTTTTAGGAACCGCTTCAACCTCAAAAACGTGCAGACTACTGGTGAAGCTGCATCTGCCAACGAGGAGGCTGCAAAAGCCTACCCCGAACAATTAAAGAAAATCATAGAGGAAAGGGGATATCTTCCAGAACAAGTTTTTAATACTGACGAGACTGGGCTCGTCTGGAAAAAAAATGCCCACCTGCACTTACATTTCGAAATCAGAAAGACAAGCCACTGGCTTCAAAGCAGCTAAAGACAGTGTTGCTTTGTGGCAATGCGACTGGGCATTTAATAAAGCCGGGCTTGCTCTACAGGGCTGCAAATGGGAGGGATAGCTCAGTGGTTTGAGCATTGGCCTGCTAAACCCAGGGTTGTGAGTTCAATCCTTGAGGGGGCCACTTAGGGATCTGGGGCAAAATCAGTATTGGTCCTGCTAGTGAAGGCAGGGGATTGGACTCTATGACCTTTCAGGGTCCCTTCCAGTTCTATGAGATAGGTATACCTCCATATAAAAATAAATAAATCCCCGTGCCCTAAAAGGCAAGAACAAAAATCTCCTGCCTGTGTTCTGGCAACCAAATAAAAAGGCTTGGGTGACGGCAGCATTATTTCTGGATTGGTTCCAGAAGTGTTTCATTCTGGAGGTCAAGCAGTATCTTGAAGAGAAAGGACTTGACTTTAAAGTGTTGCTGATCGTAGACAATGCTCCTGGCCACCCTGAGGCACTCCGGTTTGCGCATAACGACGTTGAAGTCGTCTTTCTCCCCCCCAGTACCACCTCCATCCTCCAACCTCTCAACCAAGGCGTCATTAGCTGTTTCAAGGCCACGTACACGAGGCTTACAGTCTCAGGGATCCTTACCGCTATGGATGATGATCCCAATGTTAATGTGCTGGAGTGTTGGAAGTCCTTCAACATTGCGGATTGCAT